CCACAAACTAATTATGAGGTCAGACTCCTGCCTGCCATTCTGGCAAGCAGGCAGGAACACAGGACTTGGAAAGTAAGAAATAAACTTGCAAGCAGTTTCATTACTTACTTCCCATTTCCTTTAATCATAATACAAAATAATGCAGGTACAGGAACAAGGAAACCAAATCAACAACTACTCAACAAAAAAAAAAACTGCAAGAGAGGACATAACAAAGAGCATACGGAAGCTGAGAATTTAAATACACACCGGATAATTAGGAAGATGGGAAACACCAAGGAAGACAGCTGCAACAAATCAGGAAATGAGACAGGGGAAGTAAAAGCCGATACAAAGCACAGGAAACACAAGACTATCAAAATAACACACACACTCCTAATGCAAACAGAGTTTTTAGGCCTTCGATAGTTTTGTACTGAAACTGCAAGAAAAAACATGGCATGTTTACATACAGATCATTTCAGCATGCCTGTGGAAGTAATAGTGTGTGGTCTGAATTTGCATGAGCATTGCTACAAGCTGCATCTGCAGATTCTGCCAAACCAGAAGTGGGATGTAGATGTGTGTTTAAAAAATTACCTTTAAATGATCATTTTAGTGATTTTCATTTTCACACTAATTTATAAAAAAAATTGTAAAAACAATATCCACACAGTGTATGTGTTATAATATTACCATGGATACATAAAGCCTCTACTGTTTTTAAAGATTACAGACTCAAGCTTAGCGAGCCCTCTTAACACGCTGAGGTTAAACGGCGGTCCCTTAAAAACAGGCATTTTTACATTACTTTAGATGTTCTTATGCAAAATGTGTTCTGCATTAGCAACCTGGACTTTGACCAAATGCTCATTTTTCTCATGGTATGTGCAGAAAATTATTATTCCCCAATCAGACTCTGAGCAAGTTGTTCCAGAGTCCTTCTTGCTCTATTCAGTTAATTTCCTAAATTAGTATAAACACGAGCACATGCAGTACTTCAGCTTCAATTCATCATAACATCTATTAGCCTTTTTCACACTGTCACTAGTGTTTTTTGTTTTTTTGTTTGTTTTTTTGCCTGTCCCGTTTGGCTCTTTTGCCATCAGAATTGTTGTCTAAAGGCAAAGAAAGATGCCCAACGGATTGGCTAGAATCTAAAGTGTATGACATCTCAGGAAAAAAAAAAGCACCGAAATAAAGCACCGAAATGTGCGCTGCTTTTCGGTCTGGTTACTACCGTTTATGTCAGAACCGGTGCCATCATGGAACCGGACACCGGTACCCATCACTATTGGAGACGGCAAATGGTAGGGAAATGAACATTCATTTCACGGGCAACAAGTCTGGTATACATTCCTGCAGTTAGCATGCCAATTGCACGCTTCTTCAAAGGTTGCGGCATCTGTGGCATTGTGCTGTTTGATTAAACTGCACATTTCAGGGTGGCCTTTTATTGTGGCCAGTCTAAGGTACACCTGTGCAATATCCATGCTGTCTAATCAGCCCTTTGATATGCCAAACCTGTGAGGTGGGATGGATTATCTTTGTAATGGAAAATTGCTCACTAACACAGATTTATAAAGATTTGAGAATAATATTTGACAGTCATGGGTCTCTTGTGTATGTAGAAAATTTTTCAGATGTTTGAGTTCAGCTCGTGAAAAATGGGAGCAAAAACAATAGTGTTGTTTTTATATTTTTGTTCAGTGTATATTTTAGAGCTAGATTGTCATGTGCCGAGGCACGCATGCACCAAAGGATCAAAAAGCAGACTCGTATGCGAGCAGGAAAACACACTTTACTATGTTAACAAAAGGTGACCCGGGATAACCAGAGAAGAAAGCGAGGAACTGAAAAACTCGGGGATGTAAAATGACGCGGGGAAGCAGAGATCGGGACCGTGGGGAGGCTGCAACAGAAAGGGGAGAAAATTACTTGAGAGCCGGGAAAACAGGGAAACACTACAAGACAGGGTTTGAGTAGCTGGCTTACGATCAGAGTGGGGACCGTGGGACTTGGGAGGGGAGTGTGTAAGTCCGTGGAAAGGGAATCTGTGGAGTCGGTGATGAGGCCAGGTGATGCACCGTGTGGTCCAAGCGAGCAGGAGGACAGGCAGGTGGCAGATGCAGGACGCCGGATCGAAATCTAGACACACGAAGGCAGAGTTAACGCCGTTCAAATAAGACATCTGTACAACGCTTCCACGGGAGGCTAGTTACCACAGAGAGGTGATTAATGGACTGGCGTGGAGCATCCGTCAGCGCGGGGTTAAATAGTCCTTCAGGTAATCGCCCCGGATGGAAAGCAGGTGTGCCGGTAATGGCCCAGCCCAGGGGTGTGGCCACCAGGGCATCCAACACACACACACACAGACACCTTAGACACAGGACCACGGACTATGACAAGATATTTTTACATTACATGTTGTCTACTGTTGTACTATGAAGGAAAGCAGGTGTCAGTCAAATTTTCCCATACAGTTCTGATGATCCAGAGTGGCCCTAACCCTCAAATAAAAAAACTAAAAAGAAAAATCTCAGAGAATTAAGAATGTTTTCTTTTATTTCTAGAATGCCTCATTGTTGGAACTGACACGAACTGCAACTGCTCTACAAATTATCTTTGGAGCAATGAAGTGTGCTACAACTACAGCTGCTGCGGGGATGCTACTTGCAAACAAAATGTATCCTACATCACACCCCTCTGTTCTCCTAAAGTTCAAGGTAGATCTCCTGAAATGTGTAACTCTTTTTTTGTTTGTTTTTTTGTTTATTATTTTTATTTTATTTTTTCTATTCTGTTGATTAATGATATGGAATAAGTTTTAGTGTATACCAGTGTTATAGAGAACTAATGCAAAATTAAACTATTTGCATTAAAATGAGTGTTGAAAGCATTAAAAGTACTTAAAATTGAAGTACTTTTTTTGCAAATAAACAATATTATTTATTAAAAAAAAAATATAACAATAGTCAAACATGTCTTTGGTCAAATTTGACAACAGTGTCTGTTTTGTTGAATAGTATTAAGATACTGTTTTGAATTTCCAAAATATTGCCATGAAAAAAGCACCTATGTTACAAATAAATTAATCAAAAACAAAGCATACACTGAAAGTAATGTAACAACTTGAACATTTTGAACAATTACACCTAAATTAAAATGAGAAAATGTACTTGGATTCCAGTTGAAACTAAATTAATATAAACTATAATAAGTGTGGTGTACAAATCTGTTGAATACAGCTATGTTTATCCTTTGCTTTTCACTCTTCTACTTCTTCAAGATTCAAGAGCTTTATTGTCAATACAGTAGTATTCACAGTATACAGTGTACTGAAATGCTGTTCCACCCTAAGCCCCCTATGGTGCATTTATAAATATATAAAGAATATATATCCAAGAGATATAAAACTAGGAATTATAAATAAATAACATGCTAAGTTTTGGTAAAAATTAAGGGATAAAAAGGTACTAATTACTAACTATACAATTCTATACAATACTATAATGGTAACTATACAATATTACCTGTACGATACACAAAGATAAACAAAGACAGGACTGAGAGAATACAAAGTGGAATGTGCAGTAGGTATTGAATACCAGTTTCAAGCTATTGTCAGGATATTATTGATGAGACATGACAAAGACGTGTACGAAATGCAAAATGTAAAGATTTCACCTAAAGAATTTAGGTTTGTGTTCAGAAGTATGTGACTGAGTGTGCAAATGAGAATATTGTTCCCAGGACCAGTTTGTAGTGGATTTGTGGTAGTTTTTGTTGTTTTTGAGTCTTTTGATGATTATTGTAAGGTGTTTGTAGAGGTGTATGTTTATATCAGTCCTTTTGTGGTAGTGAGTTGAGGGCTATGACTGAATGGGGGAAGAAGCTCTTGCAGTGTCTGGTCATTACAGTTTTAATGCTGCGAAACCGTCTGCCAGATGGAAGGAGGGAGAACAGTGCATGTGAGGAGTGGAAAGTGTCCTTCACTATGCTGTTCGCACGTCGAATGATGTGTCTGTCATAGAGTTGGGAGATGGATGTGAGAGGGCTTCCAAAGATCCTCTCTGTTCTCCTCACTATTTGCTGCTGAGACTTCTTTTCAGCGAGGGTGCATTTCCCGTACCAGATAGTGATGTAGCAGCAGAGGATGCTCTCAATGGTTCCCCAGTAAAATGATATGAGGATAGGAGGAAGGAGACCGGCCTTCTTCAGTTTCCTAAGAAAGTGAAGACGTTGTTGGGCTTTCTTCATGATGGTGGTGGTGTTCAGGTTCCAGGAGAGGTCAGCTGAGATGTGCACACCGAGGAACTTCACACTGTTGACCATCTCAACAGCAGATCCGTTGATGTGCAGTGGAGTGTGAGCCATTGAGGTCTTCCTGAAGTTAACAACCATCTAAATGTTCAGAAGACTAATGCGAGACAGGTTGTTATTCTGGCTCTTTGTTCTCTGCCTCAAAACATGCAAAGAAGTCATTTAGTTGGTCTGGCAGAGAGGGATCCCTGCTGCATGCTGGAGGTGTTGGCTTGTAGCCCATGATTGTTTGGATGCCCTGCCACATTCGCCGAGTGTCCTTTGTACTTGTGAAATGTGTGTTGATCTTATCTGCATACTGCCGCTTTGCATCTTTGATGGCCCGTGATACATCTGCTCTGGCTGTAGTGTAAGTTCCTCTATTTTTGGACTTAAAGGCAGAGTCTCTGATTTTCATCAGGTTGCGTGGCTTTGCAGAGAACCAGGGTTTATAGTTTGCAGATCACGGTCTTGGAGACAGTGACATCCTCAATGCATTTGCTGATGTAGCTGGTCACTGAGATTGTGTACTCCTCCAGGTCCACGGTGTCTGAGTATGTAGCAGCTTCTCTAAACATATCCTAGTCTGTGCATTCAAAGCAGTCCCCATGCTGATATGCATGCTTGTCTTTGACAACCAAAATAAAACCCAAAGTAATAACAAACTGTAATATTTACAATGAACACAGTTTTCATCAATGGATCAGTACAGACTGCAGCATGGGATTCAACCAAGACCACAACGGTATGTCTCATCCTCACGTTTGTACTATTCTATAAATAAACTATAAATATAAATATGTTTTCTATTGTTACATAGTACAAAAATATCAACGATGTCATGCTTTTTCTTTTCTTAGCTTCAAAACCAATTTCAAAACCTGAATGCTATTCAGTATGTGAACGTTACTGGTCCAAGGTACTGTATTTTACAAAGAAATATGTTATATAAGTTACCTTTTTGGTTTTGTGTTTGTTTTTCGTCAATGTTATTTTTTTTAAACAACATCACTTATTATTGTGACACCACTTATAGTCACCAACTAAACTGTTAGTTATTATAGGTGAGTTTTTTGTAAATGATTCTACCTGAGTTAGCTAATGTCTTCAGGGCTGTTTCAGAGACCTGAGCTTCAAAGCTGATTGGTAGATGGGAAACCCTGAAACCATGCCAGAGAATTCTATGTAAAACTCTCATCATTTCAGTAACTCTGTGCATACCTGATGACTAGTGTCAATAGCTGTTCCCTGGCAATAGAGGGGACAGCACTTGAAAACTGCATTCATTAATTTTCTTTTCTGCATTTCATGGTGCACAAAAGTGATTGCGAAAAAGATTAATCTTAGAATTCCAAAGAGACTGTCCAAATACTTTTTGGAGACCTTGCAATATGTAATATAATGTCGGTTTTAGACACTTTTGGAGACTGACAAAATTTAGTAGATATGCACAGTAAATAAAACTTACTGTTTGTACTGTAATGTTTTTTTTTCATGTCGATAACAAGTTATTTTTCCATCATTCTCTACAGAACCATCTCCACATCCTCATCGCTGCAGTATGTTGACTTTCAGGTAGCTGTCAGTGTCAGAGTGCTGACTAGTAAACTTCAAGTGATAGTCAATGAACTTACACGTCTGCTTACACCTACAGCTATATTTGTGGACACTTTAGGTCAGTAAAAAATAATTTTTACTATTCTTTCAATTCCTGTACAACTTGATCTTCTAATCTATATATTTCTCTGTACCAGAGATTTATGACATTTGTTTGGACCTAAAAATATAGAGTTTGTGTGCTCCAGATATGGAGTTATATTAAGTATCATACCTCTTTTTTTTGGAATGTGCATTATGGGTATTGCGTTTTTGTATATGTTACCCCATATTTCCACACACTAATTCAACTATGACAAAATAAGTAAGCAGTATGGTTCAGAATGAGACTTGTGTTTCCAACAATGCAACAGTCTTTGCTCTTTTGCTTTTATGTCTAAAATGAGCCGTCCAGCTGTTTTTGTTCACACCCCAAGTGTATTTTCTATCCATACATTAGCAACAATGCTTAATGAGTTAGTTTTCATTTTCCAAAGCACATGATCTTTGTTTTGCTTACATTTAATGCAAAGTTAAATGTAACACCCATCCCACATTCTATTGAGAGGGGCCCTGGGTTCCTGTTGTTACTTTTCTACTGATACTCCCTTTTTAATGCTTATGGTATAAAATATGCAATAAAACTACACTATATGGAAATAAACCACACACAAGCAGGTCAATTATAAAGTTAACTCCACTTTAGTGAATAATTGGTTAACAACAACACAAGGAAAATAAGTAAAATTAATAAAGTTTGATAAACAATGGTAAGCCATCTACCTGAACAGAAACAAAATAATCAAATAATATTGTGGGCCCACACGCACTCTCACCAACACACACACACCTCAAGTGCTACAGTCTTTCTGCTAGCAAACCCCTCGTTGCAGGCCTGAGTCGTGGCTCGGGTGCTTTGGGACCTAAAACAATATGGTCGCTTCACTTGTTGCCAAGTAGTAAAATAAAAAGCATGTGCAAACATCAGTACTCACACCTCCAGGCAGTTCAAAGGGATAGTGGAGGAAACTGGGTCAAGGCTACCAGCAGGCCGCGGCAGCAGCACTCACAGTCGTCGTCTCCACGTGCTATCACGTGAACACATAACTTCAGCACACCAGCAGAAGGGACCTCTCTGACACACCAGCAAGACGTCCGTCTCCTCCTACTCACAGTAGAGTACAACAGTTTTCCACTACAGTTAACTATCCGTCAACCCGAAAATACGTCTGTCGCCCTTCTATGAACTCTGCGTTCACTCGACACTGTTGTTCAGCTCTCATCTCTCTCGCTTCCTGCAGAGTGCACTCCCCACTTACTCCCACCCATCTACCAGAGACTACTTCAGGGTTCACTGGAGCTGTAGTACATATCAATAACATTTCAAAAATAATGACATAAACCTCAAAATACAAATAAAAAGGCTGTGCATTTAACTGACACACATCACATACCTTACAGGCATTTGTATACACATTATTGAACACAGTGAACATTTGCATTTAACTATCAATATAAATGAACTATTTAAATAAATGACCTATTTATATAGCCAGGGCTACATAAAGTTTTCATATCAAACCAAATTTACTCACTTCTTTTTTTAATTAACAGTGTGTGAATGTTTGTGTGAATGGGTGGATGAATGAATGTGTAAAGCGCTTTAAGGTCCTTGGATGGCAGAAAACTTTTTACAGCTTAACCAGGACAAGACTGAAGTTTTAATCGTCGGTCCTGAGGCTCAGAGAGAGAAACTCTTGTCTAAATTAGAGGCATTTTCACTATGTCCTGCGCTACAAGTGAAAAACCTGGGTGTTATTTTTGACTCTGAGCTTGGTTTTATCCCACATGTTAAACATGTAACCAAAATTGGATTTTATCATCTAAAAAATATAGCCAGAGTCCGCCCAATTCTCTCTCGGGCCAACACAGAGATGCTGATGCATGCTTTTATTACCAGTCGCATTGATTACTGTAATGCCCTGCTCTCTGGTCTTCCTAAGAAGAACTTTACAACTTTTGCAAAACTCGGAAGCTCGTGTGCTGACGAAGACCAGAGGGCGGGCCCACATTACACCGGTTTTAGAATCGCTGCACTGGCTCCCCGTGTGTTTCAGGATCGATTTTAAAGTTCTTTTATTGGTTTTTAAATGTCTTAATGGTCTTGGGCCTTCCTATCTCTCAGATCTTCTTTTACCGTATGAACCCTCGCGGACCCTGAGGTCCTCTGGTACTGGCCTTTTGACTGTCCCTAAAGTCAGGACACATACTCACGGAGAGGCAGCTTTTCAGTGGTATGGTCCTCGTCTGTGGAACAGCCTGCCGGAGGAGCTCAGGGCCGCAGAGAACGTACATGTTTTTAAGAACAGGCTCAAGACCCACCTT